CCATCATCTTATAAGAAAGGACACTAAGGTATTTCTTTAAATAAGATACTGGAATACATAAGGTAAAGAAGATTACTTCATTTATTGTTGCTGATGTTGTTTTTTTTTTTTTAAATTATTATTTTTCCTGAGGAACACCTTCCTTGGAGGCTCAGGCTCACAGTTACAGACTGTCGTAGAGGAGCCTATTCCTGATAGAGACGTACTATATTCTGTCACTCCCTGAGAGAAGTGAGAAGGCAGTTCAGTAAGAAATTAATGCTTTGTATTTTTCATCTATTTTTCTTCCTGAATATAGGTCACAGTATTTATTTTGTATCTTGAACAAGATTTCTTTCTTGTTTAATTCCATTTTGACACATTTTCTACTTATATACAAATCTAAAGTAATTGAAATGCTGCCTTCAAAGAACAACATTAAAATGTTTGCAAGAACAGATGTCAAACATTTGGCAGCTTACATAATACAAATAAAGATTTACAGCTGCCTATGAATACACAACATAAGCATGCCTTTATTCCTTTTGCCTTCCTCTTCACTAACCAGATTTGGAAATAAATATCTGTAATTGTTTACTGGAGGAAAACTTACAAAATCCTACTTATCAGGTAGGCAATGTCAAAGCGTGCTGCATACCACCAGAATTCATCCCCTTGCCTATAGGCATAGTGATTGCATCCTTAACCATTGACCATGAATTTCCCAAACAGTGTTTCTCTGCCATCTTTTTTCATCTTCCAAATCCCTGGTAAACAACATAATGTATGTACAGAAATCTGACTGTCTTCAGCACCAGGCCAGGGTCAATGTATTTCTAAAATCTGATACAGAGAAAGCCACAGAATCACAGAATAGTAGAACGGGAAGGGACCTCTGGAGATCATCTGGTCCAAGCTCACTGCTAAAGCAGATTTCCTAGAGTAGCCTGCACAAAAAAAGTGTTAGGGCAGATTCTGAATATATCCAGAGGAGACTCAACAGTCTCTCTGGGCAGCTTGTACCAGTGCTCTGTCACTCTCAAATAAGTTGTTTCACAGAATCACAGAATAGCCCAGGTTGGAAGTGACCTCAAGGATCATGAATCTCCAACCCTCCTGCCACATGCAGGGCCGCCAACCTCCCCATTTCATAGCAGCCCAGGCTGCCCAGGGGCCCATTCAACCTGGCCTTGAACACCTCTAGGGATGGGGCATCCACAACCTCTCTAAGAAGCTGTTCCAGCACCTCACTACTCTCTCTGTAAAGAATTTCCCCCTGATATTTAACCTAAAATCTTCCCTCCTTCAACTTAAAACCATTTCCCCTTGTCCTGCAGTTACCTACCCTTTCAAAGAGTTGACTCCCCTCCTGTTTGTAGGCTCCCTTCAGGTACTGAAAGGCTGCAATGAGGTCACTCCACAGCCTTCTTTTCTCCAGGCTGAACAAGCCCAGCTCCCTCAGCCTGTCTTTGTAGAAGACGTGCTCCAGCCCCCTGATCATCTTCATGGCTCTCCTCTGGACCCTCTCCAACAACTCCCTGTCTTTCTTGTACTGGGGGCTCCAAACCTGGACACAAAGCTCCAGATTGGGCCTCACAAGGGCAGAGTAGAGAGGGACAATCACCTCCCTGTCCCTGCTGACCACCCCTCTGCTGATGGAGCCCAGGATACCATTTGCTTTCTGAGCTGCAAGAGCACCCTGTTGGCTCATGTTAAGTTTTTCATCCATCAGGATCCCCAGGCCCTTCTCTGCAGGGCTGTTTCTCATATTCAGATGGAACTTCTTGTGTTCCAGTTTGTTCCCATTGCCCCTTGTCCTATCTCTGCAGTGCTACTGAAAAAAAGTCTGGCCCCATCATCTTGACATCTGTCCTTTATAAGTTCAGGTTGTATAATAAAACCAGTGCTAATAGATTCAAGACCATCTCCTCCTGGGGCAACAATACCAGCAAAGCTCCTGCCTCAATTATGGATGCACTGCATTCAGGAATAACACAGAACAAAGGCTTTTCTTTCCTGATTGCTCACCCTTGAGGTTGTGCTCAGAGGAAAACCAGGTTCCTGTGGGACATGAACAGGTGAGAAGGGTGGTAGGCAATCCCCAAGAGCAGGCTTTATCAATAGTCACTGCAGTCTCAAATCTCACAGAAAAAGCATTATTACTGAGATCACAATAACGGCCTATGGTCCAGAGCACTAGTGCAAGAGGCCTGACAAATTCCATGTTATAAAAAACAGAGAGAAGCAAAATAAGAGGTGGAGATGATGAAGGATAATCATTTAATATTTCAGCAATAGGGCAAAGAGAACAGGAATCGTCCCGACAAAGATCAGCCTAAAAACATACCCTGATTTTAGCCTGGAGTTATGTGTGAGGCTATCAGCAAGCTTTCCTGCTGCCCCATTCTCTTAGCCCACCAGAACCCTACAACTCAGACCTGACCACATATTTCTCCATGCATGCATACTTTCAAAGCAGTCCTTCCTACTGAAGTCATTGAAACAACTCACCTTTCGAAAGTTTCACTTTACTGTTCTTGCAGGCTGGAGCTAAAAATTTTTCTCATAATTTGCATATATGTAGAATATATGTAGAATATCTAAAATACTGCCTTTTGAAAGCAAAACCTTTTTGTGGGCTTGTATCAAAGGTTCTTACAAAGCTTCATGGAAAAACATGATTTATTTGGTTGCTGATGCAAATGCAGCAGAATCAAAAGAAAAACGTAGCACTACTTCTGCTGGTCTTCATGCTAAAACACAGACATACGTTTGATTTCAAAATGAATGTTTGAAAAAAAGATGTGCAAACAGAACTTGCTTCCTCAAATCATTTTAGCATAAATCTATTTAGGCATTAAAACTTCAGTTACTGGCCCCCGAATCCATTTCTAGGATTAAATGATTAGGGCCCCAAAATAATGGTGTTATTCATAAGTCCAGATAAAAATCTGTAAAACCTTACCAGGTTTCATTTCATTTTTAGGATTCCTCAAGTAAATTAATAACAGAAAGTGAAACCTAACATGGAGATGGTTTATACTGGTTTTCCTCAAGATGGCTGGAAGTGCTCAGAGTATGTACAGTGAGCACTGAATACAGAAGTAAAAGAAGCCTCTCTCATCAAACGTGCAACTGCAAATAGAAGGAACAACTTCTGCAAACGTTTCTCCAAGTGCTTAGAATTTCTGTTATATTGAGAATCTTTTAAGGATTGGCAGCAAATTCATCAGCTTTAAAACAAGCCTTAATATGGTGGTTGTCTTGCTAATTAATTCTAATATCAGAACTTGGTTAAGAGGCTTCTGTGGAGACAACTGCTTTCTCACCAAGGGACACTTGAAGTCAGTCACAATGCCAATGGCAGTGAATGCAATCCACCACAATCTCAGAGACAATCAGAAGCAGTTTTCTCAGGTTATCTTCTTTTCAGCCTGGACATGTAAGAACGATTTTCATCTAGACACTGTTTTACACAAACTATGGTACTGTTCACACGTTTGGGCGTTCAGAAGAAAATTAGCAAGGACTGGTCATAAATCCAATGGTTGGTTGGTTGTTTTGTTTTTAATTTTATGTCCAGAAATATTTGTATGTGTTAAAGGTTCAGATGAGTTCAATACTGTTGTCGTAAAGACCTTTCCTCTCTGGGAAAAAATAATATGATCTGTTACAAAGATCACAGCTAAAGTTGAGATTAATTATTTGATTCTGTCTGCCTTGCGACAAGTGAATAGTTCAGCAAGATTCACAAAGGTTGATCAAAAGAGAATCAGGACTGAAATAAGGAAATGCTGTAGTGAAAATGGAATTTATGGACAAAAGATACCAGAAAGCTTAGAAAGTGCAAAGGTGTGGACATATTACTTGTTTTTATATACAGCTCAGCAACTGTACCTGACTCATATACCTTCCTGACTCATCAGTGTTTTAATTATTTTTTCCTTATTCGTTTTAATTGCTCTATTTTCTTTGTTAAATACCTTAACAACGAGGAGACACAAATAATGGCACAAAAGCAACAGAGCTTTCTCTACAGTGTTCTGGTTAATTGCATGCATAAACAAACTGAGGAACAAAAAAATCCAGCTAAGAGCAAATTTATGTGGTGCTTGTAAATCAAACCTCTGACCTCCTGTTGAATTTGATCTTCCTGTTGACTATGAACAAAAAAAGAAAAAAAGGAAAATTGCAAGCAAAGGTGGCTTACAAAGATACAATAATTTATAAAATGCATGTATTGTATTTCACTGCCTCTGAATAAGATGTGTCAAAATACCACAGCAAATATCACTGTGGCAATACACCTTCTTTTCTGAAGGGCTTCTAGCACAAGGTGTCTCAAGACATCTGCTATGCAGATCATTAAATTGCTAGAAATTTGGCAAGACAGAAGAAATGGAAACATTTGTGAGCTGATGCTTCTTGTCAGGCAAAAGCTGAAATTCAAGTGTTGTGGATCACTGCTATCCATATACAGAATTAAGAAGTAAAATACGAAATACAGAGCCACATGCCTCAAAAAATCACATGTTCAGTTTTTGGAAGCCTGCAGTTGTGTGAATAGTGTAACTGTTCAAAAGAAAAAGGTGGATTTGGAAGACACTGGGCTAGAACTCATTGGAAGTCACTGGAAAAATCATTTCAACTCAATGTGATTTTTCAAACCAAAAAGTCTCTTTTCTAGAGAAAACATAATGTTTGGAAGAAAATTTTCTTGTCCAAAATTCTGGAAGTTCAAGGTACCAACATCTTATTCTGATTGAAGACCAGTAATGATACTATGCAATTTTCTTTCCTGATAGTTTAGGAGTGGATAAGGCAGTTCAGAAAGCAGGATGGAAGACCATCAGTTCAGTTCACCACGTTCAGAGCAATCAGAGTCATTATCATTGAAATATTATGTTCAGAATGCTGGATAAGCATACTGTTTCTGAACATAATACATACATCTTAAAAACTCAGACACGTCACTAATAACTAACTGCAGGTTTACTTCTGAAGTGTTTCAGACAACCTACCTCACTGTTGACTTCAGCAGGCTTTTTCTTTGTTTCCCCTATGTCCAAATAGCTGTGGAAGAAAATCAGCACCGATTATTTACAGAAGCATCTAACTTACAGAAGACAGATATTTCACACTTTTATTTACCATGCCTCAAAGTAATAGAAATAGTAACTAAGTCAAGATTTTAATGAAGGAGCATTAATATAAATCTACAAGCTAGCCCCCTGGGTGAATGCAAAATGTAAGGCAGAACTATTCATCTAACTTCAAGTCAAGTTAGTCATCTCACTACAGACCATCAATAACCAACTTATTGGAAAGATGGATAAATAATAACATCAATAAATATCAGTACAGTATTAGTTTAACAGAGTTTTCTAGGTTACCATCTTGCCTTCTAGTTTCTCACAATAAATTCTGACACGTTTAAAGTCTCTCCACACTCAAGTTTAACCAGTGCTTATTTAAAAGGCTCTACACAACTTGAGTTTCAACTGGTCTGGGACACACCTGGAAACATTTTATCCTGACTTATCATGACACAGTAAGAGTATCTTCACAATTATTAATAAACAAAATCCAAGGACAAAACAAATCCACAAACATTCAAACATCACTGCACTCTGCTGCCGTATTCCCTGCTGCATTATCACAAAAGCATCAATTAAAACACACAGTGGTAGCCTAGCCATATGTTGCCTTTCCAAAGAAAAGGAATTAAGTCTCCAAGCAGGTGTAACCCTTAAACTGGTTGAACAGTTACCCAGGCACCTAGACTGCACCAGCTCCAGTCCAGCACTGCAAAAGCCTCATGAGCTGGCCTTTTCTCATGAATGCAGCTCACAGGAGCTGCAGGACCTCATGTTGTTTCTAGCTCCCAGTGCTGTTGCTGCTGTAGAATGAGACACTCCAGAATAATGTATTTCAAGATGTTACAATTCCAGGCTTGGAATGGCAGAAGTTCATGTGCTAAAGGTGAAAGCAGTTAAGCTAATCACTGAAGATAGAGAAGAAAGATTCGGATCTCGTTATTAGGCATCTGTGGAGTAACAGAGGTGCCACTTGAAGCTGAGTGCTGACACTTCCAGCTCCTGCTTTCCTTGGTTACTTTCACACCTGCACACAGCTGCCCCACAAGTCTTTATTTCAAAGTTCAGCCCTGCTTAGTCTATTGTGACAATGAATTAAGCCAGCAAGCATCACCACAAAGGAAAAAATGAACAGTTAAAAATTTCCATAGTTCTTGCTGCTCTAAGACCAGAGTCAGATCCCTTACGACAGAAGTTTTGTCTCCCACAGCTGCAACTGCTTTATCTTTGCCCACGAGACAAACACAAACACGCTCTGTTCTCTAATTCTCTCAGTTTCTTCCAGAACATCCTTTCCAATTGACTCCCCTCTCCTCTGACCTGCCTGGCTAAGCAGTCCCTCTAATTACCCTTCTGTCTACAACCTAGTTAAGAACCAAACCCCTCCAGCCTGCTTTAAATATGCTTGTAAAACCACTGCCTGCTTTTACAGCACTATATCAACACAAAACAGTAGTGAACAAGGAAATGGAATGGTCATCCAGGCCATCCTTCCCACAGGAAGCATACTCTCAAGGGATATACATACAGCACAGCCTGCTTTTACTGAGTGCTTTAGGTCACCTTTTCTGGAAGTATTCTCTTTGTTGACCTCAAATATTTAGGTATCCTGTTACGTGTTGCAACCACAGAAGTCTGAAAACTCCCGCCATTAATCATGAAAAATGAAATAACAAAAATAAAAGCCTATTTACACCAAAACTCAACCTGAGCACCCAATCCTCTATGCAGCACATGCTAAAGAAAACAGTTACTTTTTTTTAGCTTGTGGAAAGCACAACACATATGGGAAGGTGAAACAAGATGTGCTGACAATCAGCAACGTTAAGCCACTCACGGGACCACAGAATTTAATACCAAAAGACATGATAGCTCTTTCTTGAGTGTGCAGCAATATATTTGACATGGAAAATTGACTTCCATTTGGCCTGCCATACATCTTCCTCTCTTGCTTTGCCACTGAACCACAAGAAATATCAATAAACCTCTTGAAGCAGATGGTGACAAAAACTGTGTGCTGAAAGAAACCCTGTTCATTAAACACAGAGCTTCATTTTGAAACATACCGAGCTCTCCTGAAAAATGCAGATTCCTCAGTGGTACCTGAATCAAGACAAGCAAAGGTCCACGAAGCAGGTAGTTTATCATAGGAATTCCCAACCACTCAAAGAAAGGGGCTGTTAATTTTGAGATATTTTTCAAGTCAGCTGTAGGATTAATGCCCACAGAGACTGAACAAAGCATATAATTAGGCAGTTGAAACAGTGGAATTCATTGCCAGAATTAAGAACCTGGTGGTTCTACTCAGAAAGTGCACATAAAAGCTTAGGTTTCCAGTCAAAAACAGCTAAAATGTCAGCCTCATTCTTGATGCCCCAGCAGAGGAAAAAAAAAAAAGCAGTCATCTTTTAAATGGCAGCAGAGATTTGGTTATTCTGTCCAGAAAAAGGCTATGTGCTTACCCCATATGAATAGAATGGATGGAGATGTGAATAGAATGAGACCTTTTAAAAATAAGCAAGAAAGGAAATGTTGGTATTTAAATTCCCAACAAGGCTGTCACCACAGTTCTGTCAACACTCCTCCTTTCTGGAGCTTCCTTCCTAACATCACCCACCGCAAACACAGACACTTGTCCCTCAGCAAAGCACATCCATCACACCGTGCTGATGCAGCATGTCCTGAGGGTTAAAGGACTGCTTCTCCGTTTCTATTGCTGTGTCAGGGAGATGCCACTGTGTGACTGATGAAAACTGCAGCTGTTCTACCTTTCACCTCTGAAGCTCTTTTGCAGTATTTTCTGTCACAAATACCTTCTTCCAGTCTGTTTTGGAACAACGGCTAATAAGGGGTGGCAGGAGAAGGGGAGAGGGGTCTGCAATGCTGATATTCAGGTTGGGTATAAACGCTAAGTTACTTTTCAGCCACTCACTTCAGTTTCTTGAAGGCTTCCCTGCCACCAGCCACATACTGCTCTCCACTCTGCAGCTCCTCCAGCTGCCGGACACGGTGCCCAGCCCGAGGCGTATAAATGTTACGCACAGCTCCAAAAGGTGCCTTCACCCCACCAGTCACCTCTTTCAAAAAGACTTCAAAGTTGGACACTTTCTTCTCGTTGATGACAATGCGACGTCCCGGAAAGAAAGGATCCCCGTTGCGATATACAAGCACGCTCTTCACCATCGGCTGCGAGAGGAACGAGCCCTTGGTGCCGGGATTAGTCATGCTCGGTGCTCTGCGTAGCCAAAGCCGCCCGGGGCACTGCTTGCACTTGTCTGCCCGGAGGAAGGTCGCTGTCTGAGCACCGCTGAGAACTGCCTGCCGGGGGGAGCACGCAGCAGGACCCGGCACCAGGGCCCACCTCCCACAGGCAAAGGCGGGGAGGGATCGCAGCGTCCTGCGGGCTCCCAGCAAGGCTCTGCTCAGCCTCCCCAGCAGCGGCTCCTCCTAGGAAACCAGATCTTGCCACGCTGGTGCTCGGGGAGGTTCGTGCAGATGGTGACACGCTGCACGGAGGTGTATCCCAAAGGGCTGGGAGCATCCCCATGGCCTTCTGTGGTCTTTTTGTCCATCACGTAACGCCGGCTCCCTTCGGGAACTTCATCCTGCGTCTGCCATTCTCCTCTCTGCTCGGCCAGACGACAGCCTCTTCTGTGAGAGCAGACAGAGCCCAGAGTCAACACCACTGAAGAGCAGGACGGGCGTGCAGAGAGCACAAATCCTTCTGAATTATTCATCAGGAGGTGGCTGGGCAAAGGAGAAAGCAGAAAATCGGTGCCCAGAGGCAGGGAGAGGGACGTGAGGACGCAGGGCAGAGAGAACCACTTGTCTGCCTAGGATGGTCTGTGTACAAAGCAAACAAAACACTGGAAACTTGTATCTACCACATTTGTTCCATTCTTACTTCCCTTCTTACTATAAAGTCCCATCTGAAAAGTGAATGCTTGTCTCACTATGCTGCTTAAGTTGGCTGCAATTCAGAAATGAAGTTTGGTCATGATTTTGATGGGGAGGGGAGGGAGGGAAGGGAGGGATGGAAGAGAAGAAAGAAGGAAGGAAGGAAGGAAGGAAGGAAGGAAGGAAGGAAGGAAGGAAGGAAGGAAGGAAGGAAGGAAGGAAGGAAGGAAGGAAGGAAGGAAGGAAGGAAGGAAGGAAGGAAGGAAGGAAGGAAGGAAGGAAGGAAGGAAGGAAGGAAGGAAGGAAGGAAGGAAGGAAGGAAGGAAGGAAGGAAGGAAGGAAGGAAGGAAGGAAGGAAGGAAGGAAAGGAGGGAGGAAGGAAAGGAGGGAGGGAGGAAAAAATGAAGATTATTGATATCAAAAATCAAGCTTTTGGATGACCCAGGCTTTTTGTATCTATACACAGTCAGCTTATTAGTTTCTTTGTTTATTTTTATGTACCTACTCACATGATGCCCTCTGAATGTCTTTATGAGATGATATGTGAACATTACTTTTACTGTTTAGGTGCTTTTCTCCCATCCTACCATTTTGAATGGTCAAAATAGGAAAGTAGCACAAAATGATATTGCACTCATTTAGTAACTGAGTAAATTAATTTAGCTATTTGCATTCTGGAAGTATTTAAAAGCTTTTCAACACTGATCATTCTTCAGCTGAACAATTCAGATGTAATGTGTTCTCTTAAGAATAAGAGCTCTATTGCTAGAGCTAATGCCACTGAGCAGTGCTGGATGCACCGAGCATCCAAACCTGCAGTTCTCTCTGGATAACTCTCTGGATAACCACAGATTATTTTTCTTTTCTTGAAAACACCTCAGGCATGTGTGACTTCCCGCTGTACTTTCTAACGCTGTCTGCTTTGCTTTGTCCAGGAAACTGCATAATGAAATGCAAAGAGTTCAGCTCCCCCAGACCTTTGCCACATCTTGGATACAAGGAACAGTAAAACTTGGCAGAAGATAAAAAGAAAATGCCTTAGATTCAATCTGAATTCCTTTAACATCATCTTCTTTTCCCCAGTAGTTTTTGCAAGACCAAAACTGCTTTAGACTTCCTGCCAGGAACTGTTTAGAGTACGGTGATGATCATTTTTTTTTCAAGTAGATTTCAACACAGGTGCTGGCAGGCATTTTTCATTCTTTTTATCGTGCCTCCTATGATGGGGAAATTACCCTCCTGCTGTGAAGTTACGACAGGGCAGTTAACCATTACAAAAAGAGCAATTTCAGGGTGACTGAAGTCAAATACGCTACTAATGTTATTGGTTAACAGTTACATTTCTCCAGTCCCTTCTGGCTTTCTTCTAGTTAATAAAGGGGAGAACCAGGCATATAGAATCCTTATTTTGGTACCGTTTAACATTCACCTGTTGCTCCCTGAAATTAAAAGTTGGATTAAAAATGGGCTTTACTTCTGTGTCAAAAACAGAAGAGCTGATGATCTTCACACCGTTCTGCAGTCACAGAATCACAGAATCACAGAATCACAGAATCACCTGGGTTGGAAGGGACCTCAAGGATCATGTAGTTCCAACCCCCCTGCCCAGCAGGGCCACCAAACACACACATTCAGATCAGGTTGCCCAGGACCCCGTCCAACCTGGCCTTGAACACGTCCAAGGACGGGGCATCCACAACCTCCCTGGGCAGCCCGTTCCAGGGCCTAACCACTCTCCTTGTGAAGAACTTCCCCCTAACATCCAACCTAAATCTTCCCTCCTTCAACTTGGATCCATTTCCCCTAGTCCTGCTGTTGTCAGCCCTTTTGAAGAGTTTACTCCCCTCCTGGGTGTAGGTTCCCTTCAGGTATTGATAGGCTGCAATGAGGTCACCCTGCAGCCTTCTCTTCTCCAGGCTGAACAAGCCCAACTCCCTCAGCCTGTCCTCATAGGGCAGTCATGTAGTGATAGGTCAACTGCCTGCTATTTTGTGCCAGAGTAATTTACTCTTGCACTCAGTATACCTCTGTTACTTCAAAATACTATTGCTCTTTATGGCCAGGCAAGCTACAATTACTTTTGTGGGTAGCAATTAAGTATCCGTCTGTGATGAGCTTAAAGCTGTGACAGAGGGACACAGCATCAAGCAAAGTTCCTTTTCCTGCAGCAAAACACTTAGAGATCTCTGCTGTGCCTGGACCAGGAGAGATTTGCAACTTGGTGCATGATCCTGACTGAAGGGTTCAATGACTGCAAAACGTGAGGTCTTGGAAGCATAAAAGTGTCCTAGTCCCAAAGAAAAGGTTGACAGTGTACTGTAAGAGTAAGGATCACGTTTCTAAACACAGGGAATGAATGTCAGCTCGTTCTGTTGTACAGCATGCTAAGAATTACATATAATAATTACGACTTTGTGCAGCTTATCTAAAAATCAGACTAACCAATAGCAGCTGCTGTTTGTAATTCAAGAGTAACTGGGTTGTCTGCACTGACAGCTTAAGACACACAAACACCAGGTGGTTCAACTCTCATGCACACACTACATGGAAGAAATACAAATCTGATGCAGCTGTAAATTTTAAAACCCATGTCAGAGCAACTTTACCTGTGTGTATTATGGAACAAAACCAGAACAAAAACCACTTAGAATGCCAGTATCAATTATTTTTGCTAAAAGAAGGAATTAGAAGTTCACAATTGAAGCTGCTTCTTTTGATGACACAAGTTTTTTCTAAGAGTGTTCTTGAGGTAGAGGAGGTGGAGAGGGGTTACACAGTGAAAAGGGTTTGGAAGCCCTTAGAGTACATGAGGAAATGGTTTCTCTGTGGAAAAACAAATTCCAGATGGATAGCATGAATTGGGAGAAACGTAAGAAACAGCCTGCATCTAGTCTTTTTTATAGTAAAGAAAGCAAAGTCAAGAAGCTTTCTGGGCAAAGATTCCTCAGTGTGTTTACAACAGTTAACCCCGATCCAGGCACCTGAGATGATCAGCTGAATACTCCCGACTCTTTCACCTAAAATTACTCTAGGTATGATTATGATGTATTTAATTTTCCCTTGAGGTGTTTCCTTTTCTCTCTCTGTAATCATATTCTGATGGAGCAAAGCAAAACATCCATCCATTTCCTTCTCTGTGTACTTTTCTTTGGTGCCTCTGTTTCTTTGGTGTTTCTGTATTTTCTCCTCTGCATAGCCCAGCTTCTGTCAGATCAGTCCCTCACTTCTGCAGTGAGATTCACCTGGCAGTGGAACGAGTTGCTCAAATAATTCAATCTTACAAACGCCTCGTGTTTTGGATGGCAATTTCATGGCTGAACAAACCTGTGCAAGAGCCATCCCCTCATCCAAGATAAATAGACGATAGCTGTCGTGCTCATTTGTCCCACAAACAGCAGATGACTTGTTCTACTTATGGTTTTAACGATGATGAAATAGAATATTCCTCCCAGAGTTTAGCACCACAGGAGACACCAGACAACTGACACTTGCATACAACAGAAGCAACCAGTGGCTCATGGGTATTTAGGCCTGCAGTAAACAGAAGGCAGTTGTAAGTATCCAGGAGGGATGTACAATTAGACACTGTCTCTGTGCTTCAGAACACATTCCTGGCTGCCACTTCATACCAACACGTTGCCTTCACCTCTAGAAATAAGGGATGATATTTAGCTGTTGTCTGCTCCTTCAGACAGACAATTATGATGACAACTATCTATCATAGATATAGTGAGATTCAATACCAACCCTTAACGGTACTTTTGCCTATTTCATCATACGTGTCAGAATTCACATCAATACGTATTTGCTGTGAATTTACATCATCTTATTTTCAACAGTTCTGTCGTGTAGGCAGACAGGATAACAGATGAACAAAGGAAAACAAGCAGATAATGTATTTTCCCCTTTTTACTGAGTACTGAGTGTAGGGAACCTGCTTTGGCAGGGAAGTTGGACTCAACGATTTCTGGAGGTCCGTTCCAACCCCTACAATTCTGTGATTCTGTGATCAGCTGGGTAAGACTTGTTGCAAATTAAACATAAATGTCTGATATTCTTCAGATGTTTCCCTATCTTTTGCATTCTAAACATGCCCAGTTTACAGAAGCTGCATGTAGTTGCCAGCAAAGGTACATGTTAGTTCCCTGCTCTCCTGCAGCATATTCTGCACTGTTCCAAGTTTTGTTTAGTTCAAGCATCTCTCACATCTGAGAGTGTTAATTTTGTGCACACTGCCACCTGCTGTGGTTAACCAAAACTAAAGCTGAGATAGCAGTATTCCTGGTAGTGGATTTCAGTGTTTTCATGCAGCACACAGGTGCCAGCATTTGCATTCAGGTACCCTCTCCCTAAAACTGAAGGATTATATTAGCCTCAGCCTACAAATATACGCTGTGACAAGTAAAAAAAGTTTTTAGTTAATTACTTCCTTGCTCAGTCATTTATTTTTGTGCAAAGCATGTGTAATTCCATATGTTACATTGCTGAACACTGAACACATGCTCATGTCAGCATGTTTATGGACACACACACACACACTGTGGTGGAATCGGGGTCTGGTGAAGAAAAAGAGAGCCAGTGCCTGCCCTCAGGTCACTACCATCCAACTTCCCTAATGTACCACGTGTCTGAGAGAAGCTGCTGTGCTACTAACAAAGCTGTAAGGGCACTAAGGTGATCAGAGGGCTGCGGCACCTCTCCTGTGAGGAAAGCTTGAGGGAACTGGGCTTGTTTAACTTGGAGAAGGCACCAGGAGACCTCATTGTGGCCTTGCAGTGCTTGGAGGGGGTTGTGGGAATGGAATGTTGTTTCTGCATTTGATATTAAAAAGAGCAATTGGAATGCATTTGTATTCTGTAATGCATCCTTAGAAACAGTCGATCTAAGAAGTAAAATACTACATATATTAGTGGCATGTTTTAGAAACATTATTACTGAATTATGTGATTCATTCTTTCTTGCAAAGCTGTGATAGTTGTTAAATGTTGCAAACAATGCAGGTATAGTGTTAGGGATTAGAAAACATATTGTAGAGTTCTGTTAGGATAAGAAACTCCCAGCAAAAGAAAACCAGATTTAGCAAACATTAAAGAAGCTTGGGCCTCTACA